TGATTTAATTAGAAGTTTAATAGTTTTAAAACTACCTCCAGAGCATTTAGGAAAGTTCCTTTTATAATGAAGCATTAATTTGCTTAAAGTGCCTCGCAGAATGAACCTTAGCAGCACTTCTGAAATATTTCCCCTGCTAAGCAAGTGGGATGTCATGAAACTAAACAAAAAAGGAAACAGTATTTCATTCATATGGAAGGACAGAGTACATTTAATCTAAAACAGGCTAGTTTAATATTGATGGTTTACTTGTGGAGTTCAGCGATTTTTAAATAGAAATCTTATTGGAATTAACTCTACCACATGTAGGATGAATTCATCACAGAGACATGCACACATGTTACTGTACATCATAACTATCAAAAAGCCAAAGGACTAGAAATTTAGGGAGTTTTGTGACTTTGAATACAGGCACCTTAATTTTAAAACAAAAATGTTCAGCTTCCGGCAACTTCCATAGTAGCATTTCAAATGCTTTTTTAAACAGCTATTAATGTAGTCAAGCTGCGTTTTTTCTTCTTCTGTGTGTAATCATCTGCTCAGTGGTGCACTCTATAACTAGTAGCAGGAGACAGAGGAGTGGCCTGCTGTGATTGATGGGGCGAGGCCCAGCAAACCGAAAGAGTCCCATCTGGATCAGGTTTTGGGAGCAGTCAGATGTTGAGAGGGAGGTCAGTAAGCCCTGCATTAACTCCCCCTCCTTCAACACCCCTATCATCCACACTCCTGCACACATTACACTGCTCACACGCCCTCATCCATAATTGATGCTTGCTTTGGGCAGATGCTGTTTGGCTTGGGACTAGAGCAGCTGCTAAGTTTATGGAGAATAAAGAGAACAGGATGGTACAGCAGGTATTTTCACTTTTATTTTCACTTGAAACTTGATTTTAGTCAAGCCAGGGCATTTCTTATAAGCAGCTGCACCACTGCGTGCAAGGCTTCTAATACATGTTTTGTTGCTTAAGTCTGAAGGACGGCAAACTAGGGTGGTGATTATGTATCTCTGCTGTGCTTGATACATTTAACTGAGCCGCTCTTAGAACCAGCAGGTTTACAGAGTAATGTTGCATTTTTCTTCTTTGTTTCTGTGCCCTAAGTATATGATGCAGTTTGGCTCATTTAACTACAGTATGAGAGGCTTTCTCTAAGTGTGAAATATCTCTTGCCAAAGAAACAAAATACACCAAACAGAAAATAGAGTAAAGCAAACAATAAACTCTTAGTTAGACTTTAAAATGCAGGCAAGCAGAAAGGTTTTCATTGAATACATTTTTATGCTGCAAATGTGTTTTTAAAAAGGAGCACTGCATAAGTAATGTTTTCTGTGCTTTGTCTTTTGTGTACAAACATAACAAGCTTGCTTTATTATGTTTTGACAGTTTTCATGCATTTCTTAATTATGAAATTCTTTCAGAGCAGAAGATGCTGAAAAGGCATGTTGAGATCTGAGATACTCGAAGCATTTAAAATTCTAAGCTTTTCTTCAAATGGAGTAATATATATGGAATAGGAGCAACTTCACTTACCTACATCATCGGAATGCTTTCTTTTTTTGTACAGTTCAACATTTAACCAGAAAGCAATAAATTTGATTTTATACACTGCCACGTAAAGCATATTTTTCAGTTGAAATGTGGTTTTCATTAAAACTCAGGCCAGGACATTTAGCAGAGCCTGACTGTCTGCCATCCTTTGTTCTTCTTTCTGTTGCCAGCAACTACTTTATTAAAAACCATGCACAAAGTGAGCATTAAGGGGTCATTTAATCTTAAAGATACTTGGAACTGAGTCTGAAGGAACAACTTCAGTTTAACCTCTCATGTCTAGGTTGTATTAAGAGATGTCTGTGTACTGTCATCCGCAGTTTTGAGATTACTCTAATACCTGAGTTCATAGGCTAATTTAGGATCAGTATTTCCTACTGCTTTTAGGGTCATTTCATATTTTCAGCTTAATGCATTAGATCTGTTATTTCCTTTATTCATTTTAGTTCACTGTACTTTAAAGATCACAACAAAGGGACATTTTAGGTGATTATATTTAAAGAACCCTTGGCTCTTTAAACTCTATTAAAATGTATGTGACTGTTGTGTAGTCTGGTGTTTCCAGCAACCACATGTTATATACATATGTTTTTGTTGACATTACATTATTCTTGATATAAATTCATATTCTAAACAATAAGCTATTGGCTTTATCCCCATCAAAGTTGCAAAGAATGTGTTTATACATACATGCTTTTATACTACATTGTAATACTGTGTCCAATGAATTAATTGTGAATCATAAATTTACACTAATTTTAAAGACTAAGAAAGGCTACAGTAGGCACTGATTTTAAGGGATGAACAACTCAGATTTATTGTCACTATCATGTTAAACTTATGGCCTACAGTAGAGTGTGCAAGTAGAATTTCTTTAATGTTTCCCCCCCCCCTCGCCCCAATCAATTTAATGAACGTGCAATGCCTGGAGTGATAATCTTGAGTGCCAGTTTTCCACTCTAAGCATGGTGGAGGTTTTTTGTTTGTTTGTTATATCAAAATAAAAAAGACAAGCAAACCCCTGACCCTTTGTTGTTTACTTATTAATGAGGTCTTAGTTATAAATAAATGATCCAGACCTCAGCTTGACAAGTCTAGTGAAAGAGGTGGGAGAGTCTCAGCAACAGGAAGGTGCTGACATTGCCAGTGCAGTTTGCAATCTTATGATAAATCTAAAAAGTGAATTGTTTGGAGTTGCTGGTAAAAATAACATAAAAGTTCAACCCTCTTAATTAAATTTTAGCTGTAATTAGCACTAAGTGTGAATGCTTTGAATATTAATTAGGGTCTCATGGAACTGCTGTCAATGTTAATGAGAAACAGTGGGGGTCTCAGCAACATCTGGTTTAGGACTCAAGGTAGTATAAAAACCTTTAGATCAAATGCACCTGGACATTAGCCCTTGCTCCCTTTGTTGCCATTATTGGGGGTTTTTAACAGCTGCTGATTCTAATGCCATGTTTAGCATCTGACACATAGGAATAGCTCAAGGATCAGCAGCAGTCAGCTACTGTGTTTCAAAGTCAGAACAGTGAAAATCCCTGTATAGGCAGAAGGTGATTTGTTGTTCATTCTTATTACTTGCTTAAGTCCTTCCTGAAACAGCTGGTTAAAAAATGCATCCACCACAAGTTTTAAAAATTCTTTTTTAACGTTTGATAAATGTCTCTGGTGTCCAGAGACGTTGCTGACAATCCGGTCATTGCTGGTTTTCACATCATCTGGATTTTTTTTTAATGTGAAAGTGTTAGGCAAATGAAAGAAGAAAAGGACCTTGCCATTTCAAAATAAGAGAATGTAAGTATATGTTTACAGGAGTTTTTAACCTCCTCTGAAATTTAAACAGGGCAAGTTTCAATGCAGCAATAACCTTGGAATGATTGCAGATATATGCAAATGAAATTTACTGGCTTAACCCTGTGAAGCAGGTAAATGGTACTGTTTTCATTTTAAAGATGGTTAAATGAAGCAATGTAAACTACTTGCTCCAGGCCATACACTGCAATAGTAGCAAAGATGGGATTAAAATTAGGGAGGGTTTGATTGCTGATAAAATTCTTAATTTTTATTACACACCGATTTCCTTTACAAAGGAAAACTTAATTTTCCCTTCTAAGCCTGCCATGTACCAAGGCTTTTTCCTGTGCTGTCATTTTGCAAATTCTTACAAGCTCTTGCGTTTAGGACCAGTTTAGGTCAGAGAACTGATGTCTGAATTAGTTGAAGTTGGCTGGAAATGTCCTGAAGTGTGAAGTGCAAAAGAATGTCTTTCATTCATCCAGACTATTTTGAAATTAGAAAATCAAGGACTTATCAGTACAACTAAGTAAAATCCCTACTATAGTCTTGTGCAGGTACCTGTACATGCTTTGGTGGGAGAGACTAATCAAAGTTTTACTCAAATATTAATTTTTCCATTATTGTTATCTAGAGGGATAATTTTATATTGTAAATTAACTCATGCGAGTTTGGGATAGTCTCTCTATTAATGGCATCTAATGTTGTGTCATTTGCAGCATCATGTTTTGAACAGCTTTAATATAGCTTCTAAAATACTGTTCTGTACATTTTCTCCCCTAGAATTATTACTATCTGGTAGGAGCAGAGCATTTAGTCACAAGTCTCTACTTGATAAGTTAACATGCTCGACTATCCTTTGTTATATCAAACATAAAGATTGATCTATCTATAAAGAGATGAGGACATTTGTTTTTAATTGTATAGGCTTATCATAACATGGAAATGAAATACTGTTGTCTTCAAATTTGAGGCCTTTAAAGTTCTTTAATCTATTTTGACAACCTACAACACAGAGTTTGTCTTTCATGTTAAGATTTTGAACTGATGTATTTTTAGATTAAAATGTTTAGTATTTTGGTTGGATCTCATTATTTTTTTTGTATGTTTGTGGCATGCAGTTCCTCAATACATTGAACCTCAGCGTATTTCTGAATCCCTCATAGAGCATTATTTCATATAAATATTTTCAGTATATGATTATATTAACAGTATGCACCCAAATCCTGCTCTGTAGGTTGCATTTATTGTGTTCTACAAATGGTCACAGACTGTGGGCTGCCCTTGCTCTGTATTGGAAGTTATGCTCAACAGCCTTTGGAATAAACTGAGCTTGGTGCTTCTTCAGTGTCTGAGTGGAGACATTAGTTCAGGTAGATTTCACTGACCTTTCTCAGTTAAAGAATAGTCTACAATTATCCAGAGAACAGCAGATTTGTTTGTCTAATTATAATAAGATTTAATAGGGTTAGCAAAATTTATGTAATTCAGATAATATTTTTTTTCCTCAAGAAACAGCCATTATGCTCTTTTCAGGCCAGCAATCTTAGCAGAATGCTATAACCACTTTCTGCGTAATGGGTGCAGGATCATCGCTTATTTTGTCTCACACCACATTTTTTCTTCCTTTTTGTTTTCCCTTTGATTTTTTTACAGGGTAATCAGGAAGCTACAGCACCTCCTGACACAATGGCACAGCCTTATGCCTCAGCCCAGTTTGCTCCACCTCAGAACGGTATCCCTGCAGAGTACACAGCCCCCCATCCTCATCCAGCTCCAGACTACACAGGCCAAACCACTGTTCCAGAGCACACGTTAAACATGTACCCTCCTGCTCAGACACACTCCGAACAGAGTGCACCCGACACAAATGCACAAACTGTCTCCGGCACAGCCACAGTAAGTCCGGGTTTCAGCTCTTTCTAAAGCCGTATGTTTCAAGTTACATATGTCTTTATTGATAACATTTATTCTTATGTTACACTTACTAGTTTTGCACTTCCTTTGTGTTAGGATTACTCGCCATTTCAAGGTTGATAGTCTGTGAAAGCTTATCATTGAATGTAGAGAATATAATTTCACTGCTTTTGGAGCCTCTTAGTAAGTGTGGGAGCTTTGTCAAATCAGTGGCTTCCTTTTCTTCAGTATTAGACAGACAGAAGGATTAAGAGCAAGCCCTTGAATCATATAATAAAGTTTGACTAAGTCTAGTAGAGTAAAACATTGCAAAAAAGTGTTTATAAACATTCATTTGGAAAAAAAAACCAACCAAAACAACCAACAAAACCAAACCAGAAACAATGATGACAAACCCAAAACAGACTAATTTTATTAATGACCTCTATATTTTTGACACTTATGAGTAGCTTTTAATAGAAGTATTCATTGAATGATACTGTATTGAAATGACTTGCGGAACTTTGTGAATGAGTATCATGGAGAGCATGTCTGTAACACCATATTTTCTAGAGATCTTGTTTGTGCAGCCATTACAAAAGCTGTGTGCGGATCTGTGCTCAACAGAGCAGAAATGATAGACTTTCCTCCTATTTGATTTATATGTGAAGTTCTGAAGTGCCATGAATTATGCAAAAGACTCCTTGGATGTCCCTACCTTGTAATTTAAGTCACAAATGTCATACATTGATAGTTTAGTGCTTCTCTCAATTGTAGACTGGGACCCAACATATCCAATGCCAACAGCTGGCAGGTTTCTGAGCCATCACCCCTCTGCATTACCTGTGTGGGACCTAGCACAGAACAGAGAGCACACTGCAGTTTGAGCATGCATTTTAAACACCTCTGCCACCTGTCCTCATTGTTGCTGCAATCGTGCGCCGTATCTCATCTTACCTCCCCTTCCGCCTCTGGCATGTATCCAGCCAGAAAGGTTTCATGGGGAAGTAGGTGTCAAATGAGTTGCTGTGAAGATTGATGTTTATTGCCATGTTGCTAATTCCTTTATATGGCTATGAACAGGGAAGAAAAGCAATAGCAAAAGCACAGAAGAATATTCCTTGCTATTGTCATGGAGGTGTCTTTGTGGATTAATTACACGGTTTTGTGGTTTATGCAGTAAAACATTTCATTCCTCTTATTCCTTACTTGGTAACTTTTTATTGCCCTGATAGGCCCTTTGCTCTAGTAGAGTGGGAAAGTTTAAGTTGAGAAGTGTCCTATAGACTGATACCTCATAGTATTTGCATTTCTACAGTGTCCCTTCTTATTCTTCTCTTTGCTAAGTTTAATTCCAGCTTTTTTCATTTTCTTCCATAGTAATTTTTTATTGTTGTCAAACTCTTGTCATATACCCCTGTCATTGATTTAGAGTAGGAACTCTAAGCTGAATATAGATACTCCAGAAGAGATTGGATATTGGCTAAAATTCTAGTCTTTCCAACTGTCCCTGTCTCATTCTTTTTATATTCTGCTATTTTGCTTGCTCCTTTGACCACTGCTGCACACTGAACACTCTGCTATGATGCCCAGCTCAGCCTTTTTGTGTTTTGAAGCTGTTGGTCTGTTTGCCGTTCAGTACTGAAGTAAAAGACCGTCAGGGCTGTCATCAATGGTAAAATGCCTGTCAGTGCGAGTGGGGCAGGAGCTCATCCCTCATCATTTATTGCTTTCAGTTTATTGTGTTTCCTCACCCCTTTTTGACTTTTCAGTTTGAGGAAGTGGTAGTCTTTCTCTCAGGGAAGTTTGGTATGCATTTTTCCAACATTTTCCATTGCAAAGGGTGATGAAAAGGAAAAGTCTGGATTGACTACAATGCCCCTATCTTCTTCGGGTGCTCTATTCAACCCCAATTCTAGCAAATCCAATGATTCCCTCAAAGTTTCCTGCTTCTGATAAACTATTAGGCTTTGCTGTTATTTGGTTTTGTATCCTTTGCTATCTACTCTTCTTGTTTCCTTTTTGTCTTCATAATAGCCAACTTACATTTTACCTGTCATGCACATTCTCCCTTCTGGTTCTGCTTGGAGTGGATTTCCATTCTTTGAAGAATAACACTTCAGTTTCACTAACCTTTTGTATTTGGGGAATATAGTATAGTTGTTTGCTCTTCTTATTATAGATCCTTTTCTTGCCTTTCTTGCAGAGGAATGTGCATAACTTTTTGAAGTAGCTCCTATGGTGTTTATAAAGAACTAGATTTCCTTACTTTTGGCTTTAGGGTATTTTTGAGAAAGTTTTGTTTTGTTTTGTTTTTAAAAAGGTTTCTTTTCTAAATTGCAATATTATATTGAAAGTTGTGGATACTATCCCTCCCTGGAGAACAATGCATTGAAAAGACAAGAAGTGTATCTCTATGGATCTACATTGTTCAAAGTAGCCTTGACATTTAACATATTACTTACCAGTTAGTTTTACAAATTTATAGTCAGATATTGTTTGCACAATTTAATTATCGGTACATAGATCTAAAATCTGTTATGCTGTGTCTCATTAGCATTGCACTTAACACACTGTAGAGACATTACAAATAGGTATATGCAGATGGATCCCAGGCAGATTTGACATGGGCTTTGCAGTATTATGAGGGTCCAGATGTGTACATCTCTGTGGGTTTAATAATGTAAGTTTGTATTATGAAACAGAGCTTAAATAGCACTGTGTCAACATTGTAACTCCATGTGGTCTGTGTTGTTGAAGAAAAAATTAGGTTTCTTTCACGTTCCTGCTAGCTTTTTGAATAGTTGTCTTAAAGAATACTAAGTGGAATTGATGTGGAGGCATAATGGTAGATTCCAATATTTTTACATAGCTTCCTTTCAGTAAGTTGTATTACATGCATTTAAAAGAAGAATAATCAATCAATCAGTCATTCAGAAAAGAATACTTTTGTGATTAATGTAGATTAGACAAACTACTGGAGGCAAGTCTTCTCTGAGTGACCCTGCTTTAGCAGGGGCTTGGCTTGGGTGATCTTCAGAGGCCCATTCCAGCCCCAACCATTCTGGAATTCTGTGAAGTTGGGAATACCACTAAAAATGGATCTTAAAAGTTTGACATATGAAGCTAATAAACTGCAGGGCAATTACCTAATTTGTAGAACTACTACCAGAAGTGATTTAACCTCAACCGTGAAGAACTTAATCTGCTCTGAGGCTTTCTCAGTGTATCCCAGTTTCTTTCTTTTTGTCTGAAAGAATCATACACTGAAGCTAGAGCCCACATTGGCTCTTGTGCAACCTAAACCCCAAAAAAGATATAAATATTACAGATAAAAATGAAAGGTTCCATGCAACTTTTCTTGAATCCTTTTCTGCAACACAGAGTGTGATCCCAGCCCAGCTGGAGCCAGTGTCAGTATCCACATTTGCTGCAAATTGAACAAGATTCCAGTCATCAGTTTTATTACAAGTTTGCAATTTTGTGCAGAGTCAAGTGCTATTAATATAAAAAGTCTATAAACTTGATCTTCTTATGAGTAGGATTGATAGGCTTTAATAAATGTTTCCTGTGGGGTTTTTTTGGTCATTCGGAGCCTTTCAAAATGGGTGTAAAGTACTACCAAGCCAAAATGGCAGTGCTTGAAACTGGCTTTGAGTTGGTGTGAGACTTTAATGAATACAGCCTTACTGAATAAATAGTATTTTCTATATGCTGTGGAAGCAGACAAATCTGAACCAGAGAGAATGTGTGCATTTTTTTGATTAAAACTAAAATATTTTGCTGAGAATTTAATATGAAAGGATCCTTTTTTTCCTCTTGGATTTTACTTTTTATAACAAAACCTTGCATGTACCCTTTCATACCCTGAGCTTCTCCAGGGAGCACAGGTATCTGAATATAATGCACGGGATATCTTTTGTCATTTGTTGCACTGCCTTTCTGTGGACTTCCAAGTGGCTTTGGGCATCTATCCTGTCAAAAACCATGCTATTTTCCTTCTTAGTTTCATTCTAAAATTCTTTTCAGTTAAGAAAGAACATTTTATTGCTTGCTTTTTCTTGAGTTGACTAAAAGCACTTTGAAAATTGCAACTGAGGAGTAAGGAATGCTCCAATATTGTTAAGACTTTACTTTTCTGCATGTTAGGCTGAACTAATTCAAAAAGAAATTAAAGGGACATTCATTTAGCAGTAAAGATGTGGGATTAGAAATGCTCTTGTACTTCAGAAAAGTGTATTTCCTACCAATTTTTTTAAATCTATTGTTTTGATAAAATATTGTAAAACAGTATTCTGTTAGAGAAAGTACTGGACATAGGAGGCGCTTAGATTGCATGTATAGGAGTTGCTAAATTTGTGTGTTGATGCTATGGAAGAGGAGAAATTGTACAGGGTGAAAGGGAAGTAAATATTTAAAGACAGGATGATTTAACTGAAATAATATAAAATCATCCTTGGGTAATAAAATACTGTCAAAAGTTATTTTGAGTCTTCTCTGAATAATAGTGGTTTTATATTTTTGGATCAATATGTTTGTTTAACTTTAATCAAGGAAGTAGTCCATCTGAGTATACGCATAATCAATACTCATCCAGTACTGGGTTATTTAAGTGCTGGTAGGCTTTTGGAGTTGCATAGCATCAAACTTGCTTTTAGTCATTAGCAAAAATAGTAAATTGTGTCTTTCAAGAAGGGTGGATCAATTATAAGTGTGTTACAAAGTTATGGTAAAAGTAACATGTCTGATTTTGCAGAGTGGTTTTGAGAGTTATGTTAAATAGTTACATATTTTAAAGTATTATTAAGTAAGACATGTAATCATTTTATGAAAACAGAAATCACCTTATATGTACCTGTGTCCATATATATATGTGCAAACATATTGTACATATATAGTTCTAAAAGTAAAACTTTTTCAATTTTCACCTATAGTTTTTCATGCACAAGTTCTGTTGATGTCAGTGGGAGATGAGCATGCAAATACAAAATGGCATTAACTTG